CAAGGAAATCTGACCAAAGTGCAGTTTTTAGTAATGTGCTAACACAATTAGCAAGAAGAACCAACATTACTGCCCATCACTTTAAATCACTACAACTTTAATTAAAAGATTGAATCTCAGTGGACAAGCTGCTAAAGCTCAATAGTAAAATAGATACTGCCAAGCTTAAACAGACCAACATTTGGGGAGAGTCGATTCTCGCCAAGGTTTCAGCAGTTACAGAAGGAATGAGCCTCTAGGGCAAGCATTCGTCAGCCAACATACGCAGCTCTTAGGTGTACTCAGGAGTCCAGCACATGCAAGTTTCCCAGCACTAGCCAAGATATGAGAGTTAAACTGAAGCCATTTTAATGGCTTTTTTAAGAAATCTAAGTGTTAAGCATTAATTGGTCCAGGATTGTTGCAGCACTGGAAGCAACAGCAACAGAGAAAGCAGGCACGGTAAAGTGTGAACTACTTCCTTCTATGTTTTTTTTCTTAGCATCTCAGAAGAGCTGAAAGCAGCGGGATCTGCCTCTGCCCTCCCCTCGGATCAGCAGGACTGGCTGCCTCAATAATAACGCTGTGCTCTTCCCAGCCAGCCTCTTTCACCACAGCTTGTGCTTGTCTTTTGTGCCCTCAATCTGCTTCCCTGTGCATTTTATTCCTCTTCCTACCAGAGAGCAAACAACAGAAACACCAAACAAAAGACACACGCGCAACTAAACGCCGTTTGTTTTCGCTTCCTGAGAGAATGACTCAATTTAGTCCTGTTCTGGAAGCGACGGCAAAGGTCTTAAAGAAAAGAGACATGTTGAGCATCCAAAGGAAGGGCAGTGTGGATGTAGAGCAGTCAGGTTGTGGAGTCACTCAGTAACAACCATAAGATACCTGAGAAACTGTGATATCATTCATGCTGGTGCCCAAACAACAAGAAGGCCTTCTGACCAACTTGACGTGGAAAAAGTTGATGAAGAGCACACAAAGCAAGCAGCCTGAATATTGGAAATATGCTGGAGGAATCAATTTGGCTGGTTGTGCTCAGAGGGAGGAATGGGAACCAATGAGGAAACGCTAAAACAAAACATATGGCACAAAGACTGAAGCCTAAACGCTCCATTTAGTTCTCAAGCAGTTATATTTTATAGAGTGTAATGATTTTTCTTGAATGGGTGTAAAACGGGCACACAAAACTGACTGCAAGTAGTAAGGAGGGCTCGTGAGTGGAAATCAACACTGCCTTAAAATAGAAAGGTACAAAGTTATCACTGGACACGCAGCTCCCTTTGCACTCCTGGCATCCCACATCAAGGCATCAGCCACACCTGGTGAGCTCTTCTTTCAGCAGCTGTGAACATTCAGGATAGGAGAACCAGGCAGGCAGAAGACAGGTGACCAGAGATACTCTGATAAAATTTGGGGAAGCAGAAATCTTAGTTCTCAGAAAGTTTCTATACAGCTGTAAAAGAAGGCTGTATACAGCAGATATACATTTGCTCACATACGGTTGGAGAAATCCTGGCTAGAAGTGCAAATATCAGATTCCAAAAGATCACCGTGCTGCTCACAGACAAAACCCAATGCTAAAGCTACACAAACCGCAGTCATTAAAAAACCTAATCATTGAGTAAATCTCCATTTCAATTTTCAATTTAAGCTTGATTTCTGAGGGGAAAAGAAACTCCCACCACATCTGTTCACCCGGCCTGTGCTGTCCTCATAGCTGCGAAGGAATCTGTCGGGGGGAAAAGGGCACAGGAACAGAGCAAGGGAGAATTCCCACTGCTCATTTATCTTCTGTTTCTGGCACAGGCTGCTCATGGTAAAGGAGATGCTCCTAAATCAAACAACCACAGCCAGCACAGCTCTTCTCAGCCCCAAAAGTAGCAAAAAGCAAATGACCCAATTCCAATCAACTTCATTACCGCTACCAGCTTTTCCAACAGGAATAGTGAGATGTGAGGGAACCTGCGTGTGCAGTATCTGAGCAGCAGGAGGTTTCATTTTTTTCAGGCTTCACGCAGAGGGCTGCTGTGATTTGTATGCAGTTGGCATCTGGAAGACCACCTTCACAGCCACCAGGCAGGCTGTGTTTGCTTTTTTGAGATAAAAATCCAGGCATCTCTCGAGGCTGAATTCACCTGCAAACGTTGTTGTTCCTCTGTGGGCATGCTGCACAGAAATGCTTTGCAATTTGTCTTCTCTCCCCTCATCTCCATGTTATCCTTTTTGGAAAGGAAAGCTGGGCTCTGATTCTGAGCAAGGTTCCTTCATCCAACGGAACGTAAGTTATTTAAGCCTAAGGGAAGCTACTCAGCAGTTACTAACACTAACTAAGTGTAATAAATGCAGACATTAATCCATACCTTTATATTGGCATGAGTCACCTCCACTGCTGACTAATCCTTTTATTTTTTTATTAGCCAGAATCAGGAGGGCAGTTTTACAGAAGTTCTTTTTGCTGCTGGAAAATGTGTTCACTCAATTCCTGCACTGAAGCAGTACAGAGCCCTGCATGGTAAATGAAAGCCACACATTACTGTTTTCAGGCAAAACCAGCACAGGAATGAGACTACACATGGATTTCCCTTCTTCTGAGGTGAAAAAACAGCTGAGCTGGTATCCTACAGAATGGTGGGCTCTAAATTTAAAGAGCAACACTTTTCATGAAGAAACAAGTTAAATCTTCTCAAAGCACTAGCGCAATTTTCACCCCTTTCCATACCAAGTTCTCGCTTTGTTCCCTACTAATAGACTTTTACAGCTCCACAGAAGCAAAGAGAGCTCAACCCCCTCCCCCAGAGACCCACAGGGGACCCAAAGCGGACAGCAAAGTAGTCCAGCTCAGTTAACACAGTGACATTCTGTCCCACAAATCACACACGTGCTAGGAAACTTGCGTCACATCTCCATCCCGGCCGCTGGCAGACACACCAATGTTTGAAGTGAGTAAGGGGGTGGGGATGGCAAAGTTAAAAAGAGAAACCATATGTTTGCAATATACACATTTCAGTGTACACTCCATCCCACTCCGGAATGCCAACACAATCCTTCAATGAGCAGATAACATCCAGAAACTCAGCTCACAGAAGGGCAGGGAAAGACACAGAAAAAGTGAAATGCTTCCTTCCCAATTCCTCCCCGTGTTCAGTCAGTGACTGCAAGGCTACCACACAGCTACATCCTCCTGATATTCTCAGGCTGTAGGATGTGAGTCTCCAGCAGCAGGTTCTCCTAAGAGCAGTACATTCACAGCCCCCTTTGTTCCCACCTATAGCTACAAAGAGGCACTGTCCTCCTGCCCCCAGCGTTGGGCACTCCAACCTGACTCCTCAATTCTGTGCAATCAGTGCAACCCTTTGCAGGCACCCATCCCACTCCCTTCCCCACACTCTCCCTTCATCTCTCACTCCTTCAAGCGGATGAGCATCATCCTCCCCAGGGTGTATTTTCCAAAGGAGGTTTAAGGGGCTGAGCTGCCAGATTATGCCTTCCTTTATAGGGAGCTTGTCTCCTTTCTAAAGTGCTGCTGTTCTCATTGCACGAAGGGAGAGGACAAAGCCTGATCCCACAGAGCAACAGGGATTTCCAGAAGGATTTCCCTCCCCCCCCCCTTCATAGCTTTAGTTCCTTCCTACTTTTAAACAATGCCAAGAATTTAATCTCTCAAAACAGCATTTTCCCAAACTTTCCCACCCTTGTTAACAGAAAGTAAGTCTCCCTGTCAGGCAGGGATGGAAGACCTGGGCACAACAGTGCTACATCATCTATAAACTTCAAATAAAACCACTCCGCAAAGATCACACTAAAAATTAACCTCCTTCCTAAAAGCCTTTGGACAGGAGCCTGTTCTGCCAGCTCCTGCTTTATTTCCTGCCTTGGGAGACTGACACGAAATGCACTGACCGTACAGTCACCTGCAGCACCACCTCACACGTGCCATATATTCACCCTAAAGCCATGCATCCCTCAAACATGCACCCCAACAAAATGGATGAGGCAGCCAATGCACCAGTCCAGCACCAGGGAGGCCTCGGGTAACCATACAGTTTGAAGTTGAAGAGAGAGAAAAAATAAAATCATTAAATGGAAAAGCGAGGGCTGGGGCCTCAAGCTGAGAGGACAATGAATGAAAATTCACAACAGCAGCAAGGCATCAGGATAAAAGACTCAATGGTAGGACTGAGAAAATCCCCCCTAAACAGATCAAAAATCACTCAACCCCTAAACAGACCAAAGTTACACATAGCTGTGAGTGCCACACAGGGAGGAACCATCCCCCCAAATGAATGAGGCTGCTCCAGAGTGGGAGATCTCAGTCTGGTTGTGGAGCTCGTTGTGTGGACACCTTCACACCCTCCGCATCTCACGTGGGGAGGTGATGGAGAGGTAAAGGAGCCTCTGTAGGTAGCTCTACAGCCCCTGTCCCACTCTGCCACTGCTCACCATAGCATGGGGTTGACCAAACACACACACCCCCCTTCGAGCAGATGGGAGGCAGAGTTGGCTGCAATTAAAGAAACGAACCCCACCCTCTGCCCCACACTTCTGCTGAAGGAGGGAGCAGCCCCACACACCCAATGCTTTTTCTTTCAAGGCATGCAGATCCCCACACACCCCCCAGCAGAGACAGAGGCAGCGTGCAGACCTCCCTAACACACACACACACATACACACACACACATACAAACTACACAGCCTGGGATGGAGGCACAGCCCCACACACACACACAGCACAGGGGCAGCCCTCAGAAGAGAGACCCCCAGAAGCACCACAAGGACAAAAGAGGGGGTGGGGGGGGAAGCTCTTCTCACCCCGCTCCCGGTGTGCGTGTGTGCGGGGGGGGGAGCGGGAAATCTGAGGAAAGCAAGGTGACAAACCGCCCGCCCCAGAGCAACGGAGAACCCCGCAGCCCCTCAGCGGGACGCTCTCACTCCTCCCCGAGGGGGGCGGCCCCCCCATCACCTCCCACAGCCCTCACGCACAGCCAAAGCCCCGCTCCGGGTCCCGTCCCGCTCACCGATGACCTCCTGCAGCTCGTAGTCATCCTTGTTGATGGACCAGGGCAGCGCGCTGGGCTCCTCAGCCATGGCCGCGCCGTGCCCGCGGCCCGCCCGCCCTCAGGGGGGGAGGCCCCACACGAACGGAGAAGCGCTGCGCTGTCCCGCGCGGCTCGGCCGCTCCGAATCCGACCCTGAACCAAACGCTGCCGACTGCGGCTCCTTCAGCCCCACCGCCTCCTCCTCCACCGCCGCCTGCCGCTACCGCCGGCCAAACTTTGCCTGCTCCCTCCACCTGCCCATGCCCAGAGCGCGCTGACGTCACCTGCGCCCGCCGCCACGCGCACCCGCCCTCAGCGCCTGTGGGGCGCCGCCCGGCGCCATCTTGAGCGCGGCACCTCTTCGCCTCCCGCGAAGGTTAGTGAGAGCGTAGGGCGCGTTGCCATCGCTCTCTCACACTGTCGCTATTCGGAGATGGAGAGTTGCGGCGGGCTGCCGAGAGCGGGACGTGGAGAAAGGCTCGGTAAAGAGGAGAAAGGGAAGGGCGGGGATGCCACACACAAGATGGCGGCCGCTAGCGCCTTCCCATCCTTTAGGAGAGCGGCGGGAGGGGTTGGTTGCTTGAAACCCACTTCGGGCAGCGATTGGCTAGCGGCTGCCGAACCCGCAGCTCCTATTGGCGGAGGGGCTGTCAATCACCTTATGTCCTGCTCCAGGGTCCCTGCGCCCGAGGGGCCTGCGGGTGGCGGGAAGGGCGGCCGGGCGCTGCCGTGAAGGGTTCTCGTCAGGGTGGGGTGTGGGAGGCGCCTTCCAGAACAGAGCCGCTGTGTGCCAGAAGTCCCTCCACTAGGCGGGGGACATCGCTTCTTTGTGTTTGGAGGAGGATGTCACATTAATGCCAGTTTTTGATAACCTGCGATGTGCTGCATTTCAGTGGTGTATATCATCATAGAAAGGTTTAGGTTGGAAGAGACCTTAAAGATCATCTAGGCCCAACCTCCTGCTCTGGACAGGAACGCCGCCCAGCAAAGCAGGCTGCCCCATCCAGCCCTGTCTTGAGCACCTCCGTGGATGGGGCACCCAAAATTGCTGTGGGAAGCAGTGCTGGGGTCTCACAGCCCTCTCAGTGAACAAAATTCTTACCAAAATATCCTCTCTTTTAATTAAAAGCCATTCCCCCCTGTCTTATCACTACCAAATCACATAAAAAGTCGATCCCTCTCTTGTTTCTAACCAGCCTTTAAGTACTGGAAGTGCTCAATGAGGTTTATCTGCAGCTCCCTCAGCTCTCCCTCACAGCAGGGACACTCCCACCCTCTGAGCATCCCCTCCTTCTGTTGTGTCAGCGGTATCACTCAGCTTGGTGCCATCAGCAAACTTGCTGAGGGTGCACTCCATCCCAATATCTTCCTGTTAATAAGCTCCTGTCTATAGTGAAGGACAGCAATGGCACAGCCTTGCCTGCATTTGATCTACATTCCTTGTTTAAAAATAGGGCCTGGGGTTAGGATGGGTATGTAGGGTTCACAAGATCTGGTTTTCCCCTCTCTGCACCTGAAGATAAGCAATTATAGTATTTCCAGCTGCCTGATACTTCCACATACTCCACGGAATGTCAGCATTCAGTGATATGTCCGACATCTTCATCCAGGAGTTGATGGCACGTAAGTCCATAACGAGCAATGTGGATCTGGACACATTCAGAAATAAGAAAGAAATTAAAAAATTAGAAAGAAAAGAAATGCGAGGCCAACTGGTACCATGAACCCACCTAGGCTGCTGTCTACAGCTGACCTAAAATACATAAAATAATAAAAACAATGCATTTCTTGCTATCACCAGAAGTCATCAGGTGAATCTGATAAGATATTCAACTTGTTTAGGTTAGATATTAGGAGGAAGTTTTTCATCCACACGGTGGGGATGCGTTGGAACAGGTTGCCCAAGGAGGTTGTGGATGCCCCATCCCTGCAGGCATTCAAGGCCAGGCTGGATGTGGCTCTGGGCAGCCTGGTCTGCTGGTTGGTGCCCTGCACATAGCAGGGGTTTGAAACTAGATGATCATTGTGGTCCCTTTCAACCCAGGCCATTCTATGATTCTATGATTCTGTGATTCTTATAGCTTGGTAGTAGACACTGCTGCAAGACAAGGAACATCAGTTATACATATTTTTAGCTGATTGGGACACATTCCTGAGATGCCTCTGATGAATCAGGCTCTGTGAAAGGCCACAGCACCCTGCCAAATGCATGGTGTGACTTCAGTACTTTCAGTTGTGCTACCTCACACGGGATGCTGTCTCTTTCCCTCTAGTCATTTTCTGTCCTACAGATGCAAGAGGCCCACAGCCCCATCTTGGTGCACTTGTGCAGACGCTGAACAAAGATGGTCTCTGTCCATAAGGCAGACCTTTCAGCTTAAAAGCTGTTCATTTTTCCTGCTCAACGGTGTTAAACATTCCCCAGCCAAGCAATATTTTGTATTTGCTAAATATGCTTTAATTACTGTTCAGAACGGTCTCTGTGATCTCTTAACGATGTTATAAAAGCAGTTTTTGAAGCAATTAAAAGTCAGTTTTATCCTGGAGCATGCACTCATGTGGCCAGTGTCGTATTTCTGATAGCAACAGCATGTTAAAAAGGGATCTCAGCCAGGCATCAACCCCAAAAAAACAACAGAGGCCCCAATCCTGAAAGTATTTAAGCACATGCTTTAAGCCTTTACAACCACAATCATACATATGACTAATTTTACCACAGTGTTAATCTAGAGTCAGAATTGGATACTGAAATCTCTTATTCTATGCAGAAAATTCTTCCCCGAAGGCGTTGCTAAAACTCTTGTTGAATTAGATCAATGGCAAAGGATTAGGCCCACAATGAACCCTGGTCTTTCTGAATTAACACAGGCGTTGATCAAAACTAGAATCTCAGATGTGTGCTGACAAGACCACCAGTGGCCATAGGAGCATATACAAAATGGTGTGATTTAATTTCTCAGCTCTGCACTTCCACATTTTTAAAGCAAGGTCTCTCATTCATGTAGAATCTAGGTGTTGTGTTGGTTTTTAAATGAGCATATAATGAAATCTCTAATGACTGTTTTGGACTGTTCAAAAGTCGAGGCGTTGCATTCATTCATTCATTCATTCATCCAGCCAGGCTGTTGCAATGTCAGTCTGATGAAAGATGAAAAAAAGGAGCTGTCTTGTGAAGATCTTAATCCTTTGCCCGCTTTACACCTTCAAGCAGCACCTTCTCCTGTGTCATCATTAGCATTCTGCTCATCCCACTTTTACTGATTTGCTGTATTTTGTCTGTCTCATGTAGGTTGCAAGCTCTTCAGGGCAGAGGAAACATCTCTATTTATAAAACAGCCTGTGAAGTGGTACTGCTGAATCAAGCAGTTGTTAAAATAACAAGAAATTTTAGCAGAAATCTGACGTGGAAAAACGGTTTCCTGTGTATCCACCTCCGCTCTGTACCAGGCTTTGGGAGAGGCTGAAAAGTGAAAAAATTCCAGGCTTCTTTCAGGTAAGAAGGCTGCAGACCAAGGGAAGGTCTCAGACCTGGGTTTCCTGTAGTTTTTATTTTAAATAAAGCATTACAATGATTAGACCATGCAGTCCCCACCTCTCATTGATTCCACAGTTGAGGAAAGGCTTTCTTTTGATACCAGCATCACACTGATGTCCCCAGGGCTCCTGTTCCCCATTGCCTGGCTCAGTGCCTTTGGAGGTAGCCAGAACAGGCAGGCACACACACATACATCCACACAAAAAGCTCTCATTCTCACACAGCACATGGTTTCCTGCCTTTGTGGACCAATTACTTATTGTTTCCATGAAGCTTACTGGCACTACCCAGTCCTTTGCCTTTTTTTCCATTCGCATAATACTGGCTATCGTAAAACTGATGCTTAATGCATAGAATGGTGATTCTAACATTCAGTGCACAGAAGTTACTGGTTTTAGTACCTGTAAAATGCTTAACCGTTGGTAATACATTTTATCATCATCTTAAGTGTGACCATAAATAAACTTCAATTGCACCTGGATTACAGAAAACTAGTCTAAGTTGCAGTTTGCTCATCAAGGCATTGCATATTTCATCTTACTATTCATGTAGACTCTCGGATTTGTTTCTTACTACAGCTGAATTGCTCTTTCAAAACAGTCATGCAGAGGCATTGAGAGTTACAGCTCTGTCGTGTGTGGAGCCACACCATTCACTGCTACATTTCTACGTAAAGGTTTTTGAAAGCATCATAAATGGCTGTTTGTAAGTGAGTGTGCATTAGGCACCGTGATTCCTACAAACAAAAGCAGTTAATGTGCTTATTGAACTGCTTGGTACGGGCACAGCTTACTGAAGCAAGAGGGAACTCAACAATGCCTGTTTTATTACATTCAGAATAGTGCAAGTGTGTGTTGGCCAACAGAACGCCTGGCTGTGGTTCACTACAAAATTTGCCTGCTATTCTTTCTTCATGGAAATACTTTCAGGTCTATTGAAGGGATCTTACTCTATCAGTGGCAGCTGATTATTTAATAAAAAACATGGCAGTTTTCCTTCCAGCTAACAAATACAGGCATACACTTATCTTCAAAGTATTTTTCACGGGAACTGCTGAATCAGTGCTGATCCTCTGATTGACCACCTGAGGCAAGCAATGAGTCAGCCCTGGGAGCACAGGTGAAGACAATTCTCCTGTGCTACCCGAAGGGGTGGAGCCTGGCTGCATCTCTCCTAGACCCCCATTTAAGAGCTGACTAGCAGTAGGGAAGGTTCTCTTTTGGAGATTTCTCAGTAAGCCTGGGGCATGGGTAAGCTTTCCATCCATTCTTCTTTAGTGTGATAGCCTTGTTTAGCCTAACTTTCTTGTATGTTTCTTAATGATAACATCTGTATATTCATTGATTACACACATGGCCTTTTTACTAAGGGCCATGCAGTGGGATAAGGAATAGTTTAAAAATCTTCTGTTAGAGCAAGTTTTTATAGTAGTTGTTTTCAAAACAAGAGCTAAATGCCAGTCTGAACCACACCAGCAGGTTTCCATAAATGATCTTGTGTTAGAGCAGGTATCTCCGCCCCATCGTTCACTGCTGTGTGCTCAGTCACTGCAGGCTCACCTTTGAGGTCACTTTGAAGTCAAGTAGCTGAAGGCCTGGTTTTGACAGGTAAATTCTGGTTCTCACACTGTACTGAAGCTACATTTTGCTCTGCAAACATTTCTTATCCCATCCCAACTGCCTCTCAGCAGAAAGTGTACTGTTCTCTCACTTCCTCCACTGAAAAATAACCCCCCGAGTTTAATGTTAGGAAACAAGCAAAGAGCTTAGGACCAAGGCAGGTTTTTTCTTCTTTCTCTTTTTTTCAACACTTTCACATTTTATTTTTAGTATAGAAGTCAGGAGTCAATTAACCCTCTCGCTATTAAATTATAGCTTTGCTGCCTCCTTCAAGTCTAATATAAAATTGATTCTAGGCTTAAATAATTACAACAGGATCTTGATTGCCATGTACAACAATTTAATAATCAGTTCCTGGTCTGTTCTGGTTTACAATAGTAC